CACTTTGAGAAATCGATTATATAGACATATTCACCCAAATGTGAAATTACCTATTTACAACATTGGTCTTTGCAAAATTATTTGTACAGTAAAAGATGGAGAGGATCTAAATGTCTATCAGCAGGTCTGGTTAAATAAATTTTTGTACAACCATACATTGGAATATAATGCAGCTGCAAAAGGGAATAAAGAAGCTCTTTTTGTTCTAAGAGAGAAAGATCTCTAGGATATGTCCTTAAATGAAAAAGCAGGATGCAGACTGTGTATATAATATACTACCATTTTCCCTATCATAAAAAGTGGGGGAAATTTTTATATAGAGAAAGTCATAATACATATATATGCTTGTATATGATATATAAACAAATCTCTGGAAAGATAAACATGAAAGTAGTAGCAGTGGTTACGTGTTAATGGAATATGAACTGGGTATATGGAGAATGAAGTAGTAAGGAGACTTCTTTTTAATATACTTTTAAAATGTATGTTGTCCCATGTGAATATATTATCTCTATAAACATGTTAAGAGAAATAATGCCTTGGGAGTGTAGAAGATAAAGCAATTAATTCTCCCTTAGAGTATTGGTGGAGGCTCTCAGGGTGGATAATATTTGAACTGAACTTGAAGGATGAATGGAATTTGACAAATGGACAAGGTTGGAAAGGTCATTTCAGTCCAAGAAAATGGGTTATACAAAGGCATGGGAACATGAACATGAGCCCGAGGAATAGTAGATGTGATTTGGGCATTGAGTGGATTAGGGACACAGGGCCAGTTTACCCTCAAGAATCCACTGAAGCTCAGATTGAGAGTTCTGAACTAGACAGAGCTGCTGCTAAATGTCAGGGTTCATTCCATACCCTGGGCCCTGCAGGTAGGGAACACGGGGTCTTGAGAGATGGGAGACAAGAGCTGTGGAGGCTGGGAATGGGATAAGCTTCGACACAGTGGCACCCTAAGTTTCTCATAAGACATTTGATCTGTAATCCTTCAACAGACCATTGGATTCTCTTGTACTATCCAGTCACTCCTAATCAGAACATCGTTGAAGTATATCTAAACTTAAATAGATTGCTCAAAAAACTATTGGTGAGGATGTGCTATCTTGATACTTCTTTAAGAAATGAAAAATACTGAATTATTGTAATTTGCCAATTAGAAGTTATTTTTATTTACATTTGCCTTAATCATTTGTTTTCCCACAAAAGCCTCAATTTATACCAATGGATAGAATCACTGAGTTCACATCCGCCAGGCTAACTTCTGCACCTAAGGTGAGCAATTAATGTAGGTTTGAGCCATTTGTATCACATTTTCCATGCAAAGGATAAGCCTTGTCAAAGGCCAAATGTTGTCATGGTTTCTGAGAATCAGAAAGGGAAGCACTAATAGATTTTAAATGTCATTTTTTTCTTATTAGAGTGATACACTTGTATTAGAGAACACAGAAAATAAAATATAAACAATATTTGAATTACCCATTACTTTACTGCCTGCACACAATGGCCATTTTAAGTATTTTAATATATTTCTAATATTTTCTATGTGTGTATATATATATATATATACACATAGAAATATATATAGTATATATATTACATATATATGAAGAGACAGGTTGATTTTCAGTCTGTGGATGTATATTTGCTTAATAATATGTTGTATGTATATTTCTTACATTGTTTCTTGTGTTTGCTAAATGTCATATTACATGATATTTCTCAAATGTCTGTTATTATCTAGAATTTAGAGGGGAACATTTTCGATCCTTTAGAGTTACCTTCTCAGTTATATCAGTCACACACACACACACACACAAATATGGAACTCTTTATAATTTTAATTACATTTCTTAACAGGCAGGTGTTGGGATTGATAAACCCCAGCCAACATTTACATATATAGATTTCCGATAGATGTACATAATATATTTTATATCTTTAGCATTTCTTTACTATCCACATTAAATATTGGAACACTTGTTTCCAGAGTGTCTTTTTAGTTTGTTTTTTCTTTATTTGCACCTTCTGCTACTATATTAAGGGATCAGGGACCCATGAACCCAGTAATAAATGGGAGCTGGTATAATCTTGTAATCAAACTCCCTCTTTTCATAGTAATTTACCTGAGATCACTACATAGCTGAATGGCTGAACCAGTCTCAGGATTTACCCATTTTATAATAACTTATCACCAGAATCTGACAGTAGGATAAGCAAAGGGATTCTTCTGGAGTAGAGAGCAGTAAAAATCATCTGCAAGTAACTTGCCATTGGAAATAGATTGTAAATATGTTCTTATAAGGCCTCTGTAATAATAATACAATTTCATGCCTTGAGATTCTGCCTAGCTGTGAACAAACTAGTATATTCAACTATAACATAACTTTACAAGATGATGGTGGTTTATGTGAGGGAAAAAGGGAGCTGGACAGTTTCTTTGAGCCCTCAGCACCACTAAGGCGTGTACTGGTTCCTTGACCAGTAGATATTAGGGCTGCGGTAGATAATGGTATGCTTAGGAATACCAGAGTTTCACTCTGTGCTCTGCCCTAAACTCCTCTCCTTCTAATAGTTACTTTTGGTTCTTACAAAAGAGAATACGAGCTAACAAGCAGGCACATGTTTTCTAGATCTCTTAGTAAATATAGCTTTCATTGGTTAAAGTAGCAGCCAGCAAGGGGCAAGAAGCAGGATGTGGGATTGGGGTAGGGACAAGGACCAGCCTTGTTTGCAGCAGGGAGCCAAAGGCAAGTAAACCTCTCTTGGGAGGAAGTCTGGTTGCACAGTGTGTCCTCCATCTGGGGATGTCTGCATCTTCAAAATCAGATGTCTCGACTCAGCCTAGCTTTGCAGCTTTTTCTGAATCAAATTCTTAATGAGCATTATAGCAGTATATCTTTGCTAAAGTGGGTTTTCTAAGCTTTTGATTTTTAAACTGTTTTATTAGTAATAAGAAATACTACCTAATATAATAAGATTATGAGGGAAATGATAATTAATCATAAATAAGCTGGCTACCAAAAAATCAAATCGTGTTCTTTGTTATTTAAGGAAAATACCAAAACTCAGAAGATCAGGCTTTTGGGTGATGACTCAAAGCATGAAACTCTTTCATCCTTTGAACTCTTGGTCAGCCGTAGAGGCCAAAAAAGAGACACTGAAAAGACAGACTCTGATGTAGAATACGTTTCCGAGACTAAAATTAGGAAGAAGTATATGCGGAAGAAAATGAAACCTCAACAACAGAGACATCCAGCAGCTCTGACAGAAAATGTCAAACTAGCTGAGAGACCCCAGGTATTTCTTTTTCTCATTCACAAAATGTGTAATAATTCACTTGTTCTGGAAATAGCATTTGGTCAAGGTTTTGCTTCACTTTCACATTTTTAAAGCACTCTAATTTTAGAATATACATTGCAGTCTTTGTTTCCTGGACAAGGTCCAAATTTTTTTTCTTTTCTGTATTTTCTGTTTTGAAAGAAAAGTTAGATTGCTAATATCAGCTCAGTGTCTGGAGAGCTCAAACAACTGAAGGGCCTCTGAGGAATACCCAGGTGGGAAAAGATTTTAAATCTGTATTTAAGAGAGAAAAATTCATTTAGGATAAACCTTTAATCTTTAGGGTTTTGCATTCAATGCTTTGTAGGAAAAATGCATAGCTAAATCATACATATTGTTACCCCTGTAGTCATAATGGGATATAATGTTAATATACAACTAAGTGTTGAGACTGATTTTAACAAATGTTCCACCTCAGAATTTTCATATATCTAAATGAATTTGTTTCTTTCAAAAGAATCACAACATGTTACATTCTTCTAATGTTAGCATGATTTAATTGCTTTTGAGAATTTTTCCTTGACTCGACTTATAATAATAATACCTACAATAGTGTGGGCATTTGCCCTGTGCCAGGTTCAGTACTGAATGATTACAGACATCATCTTGCTAACTTTCATTTCACATCTTGTATAAGCCAAAATGTATTACCTAGTTTATCTACCTTGTTTATGAAATTTGACTTCTAATACCTTTTTACTATTTCCACAAATTAAATTCACCCTTGAAGAGTGGATGTGGTCCACCATGGAAAGTAGTCAAATGAATTGCCATAAGCTCTGAAAGCAATAAACTCATTTGATCAGCAAATAACTACTGAGCTTCTGCCCAGTGCAAGACACTGCGTAAGGCATGGTGAGAGACAAGGTATTTTAGGCATGGTCCTTTCAAAAGGAATTATGTAGAACAATAGCTGCATTATGGAAATCTCTCACACATTCCTTTGTAATATCTTTGGCAAATGACGTACAGACTCCTTTTGAAAATCTTTGGTGAAAATCCTTACCCCCGAAGGCAGCCTTTTCTTGTTTCTTTTTTGGGTAGCTCATCCTCTTAAAATATTTCAAATCTATTTCCCTACAATTTTGAAATTTTTGCCCAAAATCTTTTCTGGAGATTATATAAGCCAAGCTGAATCTGTCTACACTACAGAATTTTAGTTTTTCTGTTGCTTTAAGTTAGTTATCACATTTAAATACGCAGATTTATGCAGCAGATATTTTTTCAACCCTGTGTTCAAAGTACAACATATTTGTAATATATAAAAAGTAGTTTTATCACTTTATAGTATTATCTCCTTTAACTCTGAATTACAGAAAAACGTATTAGCTGTGCAATTTCAAGATTGGGCTTTTTTGGTTTATTGCGTAGACATAGTGCATGCTCTAAAAACATATAATCCATTGAGAAGTGTTAGAACAACACATTTTAGACTTTAAATATAGGGTCTTTCTTAGTATAGCATATATGTGCATGTGTGTATATGTAAAGCTACACAAAGTGAATAGATATACACATACATACTCTTCATGTAGCTATATATATGTACACACACACACACATATATACACATATGTGTCTGTGTGTGTGTGTGTGTGTATTTGTAATTTTATTATGTACCACTCAATATACCAGCTACAGGGGATTCAACTGTGAGAAAAACCACATATGGTTCCTGCCTCCAACAAACTTACAGTTTGGCAATAGAGACAGACACTCAATAATTACACAGACAAATGTAAATTGCTACTGTGGCAGTTTTTATGACAGTGGCATGAGTGTTTATAATAGGGGATTTGACTCTGGTGGGACAGGGATGTCTTCCTAGAAAAAAATGGCGACTAAGCTTTTAGGATTGAATTCCAATTAAATGGGTAAGAAAGGAAGGAAAGCATTTCCAAGCAATGCAAACAGCATTTGCCATATAGATGAAATGTGGTGAATACAGAGAACTCTAAAAAGACAATTCAGCTATGGCAGAGCAGAGAGATGGAGAGGGATGTGGTATGAGAGGAGCAGGGCAGGTCCTACCGGCCTTGATTGAAGGATTTTGTATTTATCCTAAAAGCAACAGAAAGTCATTGAAGAGTTTCAAACAGGGCAGTGGCATGAACAGATTTTTCTTGGTAAAGACTGCTTTGGCTGAGTATGGGCGAAAGGTTAGTAGAGAGCAGAGTTGTTGGGAAAGACATTCTCATGCATGCAGCCATTTACCCCCAGCTGTCCACGTAAGGATAGACCTTGGGCCTGCGACACTTTCTTACTGAGAGATAAAGAGCCCACATGGCCTGTGCTGGGCTTATCGCTTTGTATGGGAATATTTTTGTTTCTTGCAAGGCTGATATTTGTTCCTTTGGTAAGCATATGTGTCATGTGCATCTGGTCAACCCTACTTCTATATCTGTCCTCCTTGGAGAAGAGGACAGTGTCCTTTTATAGCATGAGAAGGGTATGTGTGGCCAATTGTCCTGTGTTGGTTGTTAGGGGGGAGGGAGAACTGCAGGCCATGGGGCACTGATGCTCACTACTGAGCCTGATCTTTCTCTGTCTCTTCACAATGTAAATAAAGCCTTGTTCCATCCAGTGTGTTTCCTTTAGCAACTCCAATACCAACATACAATAGAGTGTTTAGAGCCCTCCCCTAGCATTGATAACTGGTGGATGATTCCTTAACAGTCATATTTAACAAGAGTGAATGCAGACAGAGGAATTAGGAGGCTATGACAGTGGTCTGGTGGAGAAGTCACTTTAGTGTGGGCTTGGATTGTGGTGGTGGGGGAGGTAACACTGCCCCATCTTGTGGATGGTCTATATTAGATATAGAGGGCAACACAGAAGGAAATGGCAAGAATGTCTACAGAATTTCAAGTTCACCTGGTTAGATGATGATTCAATTTATTGAAAGAGAGAGTCCTAGAAGGTGACTGATATTGTGGAAGGGAGCATGAGTTCAGCTTCTTTATTTTGAGACCTTCAAGAGGATGTGCCAAGTGAGAAATCACATATGAGTCTGGATTTCAAAGGCGATGTTTAAATAGGAAACATAAACTTGTGAAATATTTGCATATCTCAGGATGAGTGAGGTTGAAGAGTAAGAAGAAAGAAGGACTAGACAGAAACTTGAGGAATTTTAGCATTTTATGGCTAGCTATTGGAATATAGGTAGTGCAGATGACTGTGAAAGAATGGCCAGAGCAGTAAGAAGAGAAACCAGGAATTTGTTATGTCATTATATCAAATTTCCCAAGAGTAAAAAAAGGTGATTTGAAGAGAGGCAGTCAAAAGGCTAAATTCTGTTGAGAGGCCAACTCAAGTAGCCAAAGGCCTGAAAAATGTCCATTGATTTAATGATTTAGGGATAATAGGGATGATTTCAGGAAGAATTTATTGTTGTTGTTGGGGTAAAGAGGCAGAAACCAGATTAGAAGGGATTGATCAGCAAGTAAAAGATGAAGAAATGGAGACAGGTTACATATGAGCTCTTGGAAAGGTAAGCTAATTTCACTCCAGAAGATATTCTATATTTCAGAAAATCTAGAAATGAGTTGAATAAATCAAGAGACCATGAAATTCTTTATAAGCACTTAAAAAATGAATTTAATCAGGTTTTAAACTGCAAATGAAACAACTTTTGATTACTCGAGGATTATTTCTAATTTCCTGTCCAATAAACACACTAGGCATTACCACTACCAAACAGAGGAGGTGCAGGAAATGTAATTAATTTTAATATTAGCCTAAGCTGCATAGAATTAGGAAGGCAGATATGCTCCAAGTAAATCTTACCATGTGTTTCAAAACCTTGATAAAAAAAATGGCTCTGGAATTACCTAATATTTTAGCTTATATGTACCACAGTTTAGCTCTATTAATGCAAGTAATTACTTAGCTTAGTGTTCTTCCTAAAGAATTATTTATATCACACACTTGCCTTTTTCAGAAGGTTACTTTATTTATCTTAAACAACTTTTTTCCCCATTTCTTAAAAATGAGATCTTAATAAAAATAATGTGCTTATTGTTTTCTACATCTGGACATTTCAATTCCTTTGAATATTATTTCACTGTCTTTTGTTAATTCCTTTCGTTCAACAAACATGTTAAACATTTACTCTGAGCAAGGTGCTGAGGACTCAGATATTCATAAGACGCAGCCCTTGCCCTTAGGAAAGTAAGAGTCCACCTCTAGCCATTCCAATTATGCGAGACCTTTTCCTGTATCATAAGTTTTATACTTTAGTGTTTTCCCACCTTTTCAAGTAGGAGAATCCTTTTTCAGTATCAAAAAGTTACTGCAGACATCCCACAGAGTACTAGTCTAGTATGTCTAGTATCCATTGATTAATAACTAATAAGAGAAAGCCATCATAGATATTTTGAAATTAATATATCTTATTCTCCCCACCCACATCTATGTAAGTTTTAAGAACAATATACATATCCATATGAGATATTATCCAGTATATAGACAATAATTCATGCAGATCCTTTGCAAAATACTACAGACCCTTTGATTCACTGTTTTCCACCACAGTTTATGTCACTCATTCATACTTAATTTGACTTGTGACATTCTTTTTATTGTTGTGCATTGTTATTGAACTTCTACATGTCCTTATCTAAATCATATACTTCTTGAGGGCAAAGAGCAGAAATTGAATTTTCACTATATATCCTACAGAAGACTGCAGTAAATAGAGGCTGAATGAAATAACGAGTGAAAGTGGTTTAGTGTGTACCATTGGTTGCTACTAATCCTTGTATATTTTTTTAATTTCTTGCTTTAGGCCTCTCCTTGGGAAATGAAAAGGAAGCAGAGTGTAAACCCTGTACAGAAATGTAAGGCACTGATTGAGGTTGAAACCATCAGCAGTGATCCAGATATAATCCTGGTGAGATAAACTTTACTCGCTAAATGACCTTGAGATTGATACACATTCATAAGGATTAGAGGTATCCATTAGTGCCTCAAAGTAACTGGAACATTTACTTGAATAACTTAGTTTTTAGATGAAGAAACAAGACTCAGAAAAGTTAGTTAAGTTACTTGCCCAAGGCTACATAAACTAGTAGAGATATAACTGGAACTTAACACCGTCTGACCCCTAGTCTATGACCCTTTCCATTTTAGTTTTTAGGATGAGAAAGTTTTAATATATATATATATAAATACATAAAAATTATATCTATAATTTGAAGATCATGACAGTCCTCATTCCCAAATCCAACGCATATGAACCTTTCTGTAATTCATAATTTACACTCTCACCAGAAAGTATAATTCTAGATTGACATAAGTTAGGCCACTGCCAAAAACCTTGCTGAGAGAAGTCTACTCAAGGAATATGGGCGTGCTTTCCATTTACTCCCCTGGATAATGTATGCCTGATTCTAACATGACAGTTTATATCAAAGAGCTGCATATTCGGGCTGCTGTAGAGTTGTTTTGCTTTCACTGAACCAGGTGTAAAAGGCTCTTGGTGGTTAGGAAGAATTGATTCAAGGACTGACCATATGACAAACACTTCATCTGTGAAGCCATGTTGTCCATTATGTTATATAGTGTCCTTTGTGTTAAAATAAACACTAAAAGTTCATTTAGACATTAGAATTTAATGTCAGGGAAAAATCTATTTTGTATTTTCTTTTATCAGAATATAACTTTTATTACTCACTATAGTTCCCCTTTTATTAATACCTTAATTGCCAAGAAGCTTACAACCAAACTTGAACCTAAATAGCAATAAGAATAACATTTATTGGGTGTCGGGCAGTGGGGAGGGGGGAAGGGGGAGGAGGGGACGGGTATATGCATACACAAAGAGTGCAATGCGCACCATCTGGGGGATGGACATGCTTGAGGCTCGGACTTGGTGGGGAGGGGGGGCAAGGGCAACATACGTAGCCTAAACATCTGTACCCCCATAATATGCTGAAATAAAAAAAATAAATAACTTCAGTATCCTAGATGGTTACTATTTTTGACATGGTAAGTGAACGCATTTAGAAAAGGACCTGGCCTCATTGTACATGTCTTTAGGTAAGGTACCTCACGCAAGATGATATTCAGAATTGTGGATTAGATTTAAATTACACGTAAGCCAGTGAGGAACATATAATTTCTTTTAACTTTACCTTAATTAATTTGTTCTTCACCAGAAAATTGTTGTTACAAGGTACATGATATGACTACAATGAAGGTTTATTTTTAAAATTTTTCATTATAGAAAATTTCAAACATAGTACAATCAACTCCTGTGTGGCCATTTCTCAACTCCAGTGGTTAACAAAACCCATAGACAGTCTCATCCCCTCCCTGCCCTTATTACTCCCAGGCATAACATCATTTCATCCATAAATTATAATTGTTTTAAGAAGCCATTTGAAGGCTTGTTGAAAAGGTCTAGGAGTGATTTGTGAATAGGAGCAGAAAAATCCTTAATATTAACAATAAGGAACAACTAAGTGAAGAAAGTAAACATCTAAGTATTTTCAAAAGGAAGCAGGTCAAAATTTAATCAGAGCCTAGAAAGGAAGACAAAACTGCAACTAGTGTTGTAAACAATGCCAACCTCCCTTTATCTCTTCAAAACAAAATGTAATACAGCCATACCTGCAATATTACTATTCACCACTTACTTTGCAGAATTTTCAATCTTTGTGTGTTTTTCATGTAGCCATTACTTTGTCACCTCTCTAAGCTTTGTATAGAGCTTTCAGCAAGTGCTTTTTCATAAATTAGCTATGACAGTATATTTAAAATATTGTCTTTTTATGTAACATTTCTCAGGTTCTTATATTATGTGTGTGTGGTGTGATTTATTTGTGTCTTTGTGATCCTAGCAGGATGTCTATATTCAAACTTATGGTAGCTAATTAAATTGGATAAATATGCATTATCCAGAGATGCACATTAATTTCTGTTTGGCTATAGTTGCAGTAATTCAAGTGGGAAATAATTGCTTCTGAGTGCATGTCTGTCTATACTTTCTTAAACTCAGAAATTAAAAAAGATTCCCCTTAATCTCTGTACTCCTTCCCAGTTATCTTCTAATTATAGCGTGTGTGCACACACATGTTTTCATTCTGCCCTGGTGTCTGTTCAGTTTCAAGAACGAAGGCACTCAGTGCTAATTCTGGTGCAGGAGTTTGTCACTTAAGAATAATTAGCTACAACACAGGACGCCCTCCCCGCCCCCTCCCCCCAGGGTGGTATTTATTATTTTGGTGAATTTACTGGGTGTGGGACCCAGGGCCTTATTTTTAGGTGTAATAGACTCAGAAATATGGTATGTTCACCACACCAAAGAAAGTACCTCTCGCAGGAATGATTTCAAGACTGTTGTATAATAGCATAATGTCAGTGTGGTCATTTAAAAGATAAATACCTCAGTTCAACTGGCAGGCACATATTGACTTAAACCATGCATTCTCTCCCTGTATGGCCGTCCGAATGGACTGGCCAATTATAATCTGACAGTTGCTGGTGGGCTAGCTTCCTGAATATTTAAAAGGCTTCCAGCTAAGACAGCCTGCTATGTCTACCTCCCCAAAAGGGGTGACAGGGGTGACATTACCAATGCTACTATAGAAATGGCAAAAATGCTAAATGGTAAAAAAAAAAAAAAAAAAAAAATGCTAAAAGGACACTGACTCAGGAAACCTTTGCCCCATGCCTGCCTCTGCCCCATGACTATATATTTTTTTCACATTGTCTGGAAAAAAAAATCTATTCTTGTTGGCATATTTTTTATTTTGCTATATTAATAATGTCTATCAGTCTGCCTTTTGAAAGGATTTTCTTTTTATTTCAGGGTATTATGAGGGTACAAACATTTTGGTTACATTTTATGTCTTTGCCTCACCCAAGAGAGGGTTAGAGGCACGCCCTTCCCCTCTACAGTACTCACCGTGTCCTTTAGTTGTGGATTTACCACCCCCCCAATCCCCCTAATCCCTGGAGAATATTACTGCCATGTGAGCACCCTAGTGTTATTCAGTTAGTGCCAATTTGATGGCGAGTACAAATGGAGCCCATTCTTCTGATGTTGTGATACCTCACTTTGGATAATGGACTCAAGTTCAATCCGGGAAAATAGAAGAGGTGCTAGATCACTGTCATTTCTTATTATTGAGTAGTATTCCATCGTATACATATACCAAATTTTAATAATCCACTCATGAATTGACAGGCACTTGGGTTGTTTCCACATCCTTGCAATAGTGAATTGTGCTGCCATAAACATTCGGGTGCAGATGTCTTTATTATAGAATGTCTTTTGCTCTTTTGGGTAGATGCCTAATAGTGCTATTGCTAGATCGAATGGTATTTCTATTTTTAGCTCTTCGAGGTATCTCCAAATTCTTTTCCACAGAGGTTGCACTAATTTGCAATCCCACCAACAGTGTAAGAGTGTTCCTGTCTCTCCACATCCTCGCCAGCATTTGTTGTTTTGGGATTTTTTTTTTTTATTTCAGGGTATTATGAGAGTACAAACATTAAGGTTACACTTTTTGTCTTTGCCTCACCCACGCAAGGGTGAGGGGCATACCCTTCCCCTCTACAATGCTCCCCGTGTCCTTTAGTTGTGGGTAACCCCCCCATACCCCTAATCCCTGGAGAGTATTTCTGCCATGTGAGCACCCTAGTGTTGATCAGTTAGTACCAATTCGATGGTGAATACAAGTGGAGTCCATTCTTCTGATCTTGTGGTGCCTCACTTTGGATAATGGGCTTAAGTTTAATCCAGGAAAGTATAAGAGGTGCTAGATCACTGTCGTTTCTTATGATTGAATAATATTCCATTGTATAGATATACCAAATTTTAATAATCCATTCATGAATTGACGGGCACTTGGGTTGTTTCCACATCCTTGCAATAGTTAATTGTGCTGCCATAAACATTTGGGTGCAGATGTCTTTATTGTAGAATGTTTTTTGCTCTTTTGGGTAGATGCCTAATAGTGCTATTGCTGGATCGAATGGTATTTCTATTTTTAGCTCTTTGAGGAATCTCCAAATTCTTTTCCACAGAGGTTGCACTAATTTGCAGTCCCACCAGCAGTGTCTCTCCACATCCTCACCAGCATTTGTTGTTTTGGGATTTTTTGATAGAGGCTAATCTCACTGGGGTTAGGTGATAATCTCATTGTGGTTTTGATTTGCATTTCTCTAATGGTTAGAGATGTTGAGCATTTTTTTTATTTCTTTTTTCATATTAGGGCACTTCATTACCCTCTCAGCTACAATTTGGGCAACACTTCAGTCTGGTCCGTGTACTGATAGCTGTGCAATTTCATGAAATGATGATAGTATTGGTTACTTTTCAGATTTGTATTTAATCTTACCATTGCTGATTATTTCAGCCATATGATTATTCATTCTCCAATATCACCTTGCTGCTTGGCTCACTGTTATAATATTAACAGTTTTGTTTGCTAATCCGCTCCCCCTCACCTCCCAATTCTTGACTGAATACTCTTCATATTTTTTTTTTCTCTAAGGCCTATGGTCTATTGAAGCTATTTTTTTTTTTTTTTTTTGAGACAGAGTCTCACTCTGTTGCCCGGGCTAGAGTGAGTGCCGTGGCGTCAGCCTAGCTCACAGCAACCTCACACTCCTGGGCTCAAGCAATCCTTCTGTCTCAGCCTCCCGAGTAGCTGGGACTACAGGCATGAGCCACCACACCCGGCTAATTTTTTCTATATATTTTTAGTTGTCCAGATAATTTCTTTCTATTTTCAGTAGAGACGGGGTCTCGCTCTTGCTCAGGCTGGTCTCGAACTCCTGAGCTCAAACGATCCGCCCGCCTCGGCCTCCCAGAGCGCTAGGATTACAGGCGTGAGCCACCACGCCCGGCCTATTGAAGCTATTTTTAAAAAGCACATTCTT